ATTTCGGTATTAACTCCTCACTACACTTGCTTAGCTTTACTCTGAATACAGCCCTATTTATTATGTTAACTGCATTTATTATGACTGCATCCATTCATCTATTATAAATTTATTAAACATCTATCAGGTGTCCTAGCTTTAGAATTTCATACTTGCACTGCAGTGTTATGTTTAAAGCTACGGTCTGTGGGATTTTTTTGTTGCCAAGTGAGGAAAAAAAACAAAACAAAACAATATATATATATATATATATATATATATATATATATATATGTATGTATGTATATATATATATATATATATATATATATATATATATATGCTGTAAGTCACTCCAGAAGTCCTGTAATTCATAGAGCTTTTGAGTTTTCAAGCGTTTAAACAATGCACCAGCTCAGATACATCCTACATCATCCTGTCTGAAAGAATATTGTTAATAGTTTTTTTGAAAATCTTGAAAAGGATACTTATTACTTTAACATCCAAGCTTATTAATCAGTTATTCATCACTGAGCATATTATTTGGTAACTAATATTAATTATTGAGTTAGAACAGTAAAGCATAAAGAAAACATACAAAGGTACGAGATTGAGGCCAGTGCTTCCTGGAAGATTAGGGGCTTAAAAGTCTTTAAATATGCCAAGTTGTGAGCAGATACTGGGATATAACAGAAACAGTGATATCAGGTTTTTCATACCTACTCCCCACCTATCTCACATTTAACTTGAGACATTTGCTAATCAGTCATGTGTGAAATCCAGGGCCTCTCAGTCAGTTAGCACTGCCTAAAGCTCAACTTACCTTCTTAGGTTTCAGTGTATCGTTACCATAGGTTAAAGTGTAGCCTAAGCATCAGGAACAGTGTGGTGCTGTTGTAATTGTCCCCAGCATGATGCATGTGATTGTAAATGCTAAGTTATTAAAAGGGCTTTTTAAATTTTTGACAATGTTAATGGATGTGGATCTTGTGTGTGTGTGTGCATGTGCCTGTGTGTGTGTGAGACAGCTGGCCCGGGTGATGACTACACTGACTACGTGGCCACACGCTGGTACCGAGCACCGGAGCTGCTGGTGGGAGACACACAGTACGGCCCGCCGGTGGACGTGTGGGCTCTGGGCTGTGTCTTTGCTGAACTCCTTCTCGGGAGTCCACTGTGGCCTGGACGCTCAGACGTAGATCAGCTCTACCTCATCCGCAAGACGCTGGGTATGACCTGACCAAGATCAATAAAGGATAAAAAAGCAAAATAAACGAAAGAAGCGGTATTGGAGAGCCCACTGAACTTATTGATAGAGTTACACTAACCAGTTGTTAGCAAAGCAAAAGGTACAGACATCAAACCCTTTTATAGACACCTATACAGCATGAAGGCATCTTTTGCTTTGGCATTAAATATTTGTGTATTGCAGATTGCATCACTGATTATTGATACCGATTGATAACTGACAATGAACCAAATATACAATTACTCTAATCTTAAGTATAACACTACAGGGCATGCAGTTATTGGAAAATAATCAACAACAGGGTAGTCTGATGGGAAGTGGAGTTAGTGTTACCACCCCAAAGTTGATTATTTTCCTATGACAGTATATCCTGAAGTGTTTTATTCCTCTTATATCACAGCATTTTGCCAAAGCTAACAATTTTTTAAATTTAAGAATGACATATCATTAGTTATTGTTATTAATTACAATATATATGCTATAAACATTCCCTCGCCAGCCTCTTTTTTCTCTCTCTTGTTGGTAATAAGACAATAATGTAGCTTGTCATGTTAACAAGAAACCACAAAGCACAAATTCTCTGTCTTGAAACTTTAAAGATACAGTTTTACATCTGACTTTACAAAGCACTGACACTGGAGATTCCTTCTATAAATGTTAAATGATGGAAAGACTTCGCAACGACTGTTGGAAAATCTTGTGCTTTCAAAGACCAGGAACAGGAAGTGATCAGAGCTGCTGTCCACTCAGAATTGAGAATTCAACAGTGTTGTGGTAAAAAGTGTAGTAAACTAAAAGGTTAAAGTTCATGGACGAACTTTGCTGTTGGCTTGCTACAAGAGTTACACGATATTACAGTGAGTTTTGTTGTTATTGAGTTTAAAATGTTCAAACGTTTAACAGTTAAGTGTGTAAAGGATAAGAGGCTAAAAGGCTAAAAGTTTATAATGTGTAAAGGTTAAAATGTTAAAAGATTAAAACATGTTCAAAGGTTAAAGTGTTGCTATGATATTCCAGGTGGCTGCTAGGGTGTTACTAGGTGGTTTCTATGGTAACCCAGTCGGTTGCTAGGGTGTTGCTAGGTAGTTGCTATGATGTTCCAAGTGGTTGCTATGCTATCCCAGTTGGTTGGTAGAGTGTTGCTAGGTGTTTGCTATGATGTTCCAAGTGGTTGTTAGGTGGTTGCTATGATATTCCAGATGGTTGCTATGTAATCCAAGTTGGTTGCTAGGATGTTGCTAGATTCCCCATGTGCTACATAATGATCAAGTTTCATGTCTGTAACTCCTGTGGTTTTGTTCGCACAACATTCCGACTAAAAATAAAAGCACCCCAAAGTCTTCCCTCTGGAACAATGACCCACGTCGGATCATTGCTCCGTGGCGACGGGAATTCCAATCTTTCCCAAAATGTCTGCGTGTCAAAGATTGCGATAATGTCAAGCCAACATAATAAAGCTTTATGAACAAAGATTTTAACTTTTGTTCCTTCAGGTGACCTGATCCCTCGACACCAGCAGGTGTTCCGCTCCAATGCTTTCTTCAGTGGAGTCAGCATCCCTGAACCAGATACCATGGTAACACTACACTCTCTCTCTCTCTCTCTCTCTCTCTCTCTCTCACACACACATACACACACATACACACACATACACACAATTTGTACCATTGCTAAGCTAATAAATATGGCTTATTTTAGGAGCCACTTGAGAAGAAGTTCCACGGTGGCTCTCCTCATGCCATTACTGTGATGAAGGTAATATTCATAAATGGGGATGTAATATGTATAGTGTAACATGATTTATGCAACCATACATTAAATTACGTGTGTCTGTGTGTGTATGTGTGTGTGTGTGTGTGTGCGTAGTCCTGTCTCGTGATGGACCCTGCTGAAAGACTGACATGTGAGGAGTTATTAGAGCTGCCATACTTCCAGGATGAGGGTGGAGTCGGCTGGGGACGAGAAAGCGATCGACCAATGAGGCGCCATGAGAAAGGTGCCAGACGCAGAGTGCCAGGGGTGAGTAACGTCCTATCCACGCATCTGCGCTAAGAGGAAGTCTTGTGATGCAGTAACATATGAACATTTTTGAAGTAGGTGGAAGTTTTTCACCTACTTCATCACATTAAATTAATTTATGACCATGAATATAGAAACAGAGTGCCATCAATAAATAATTGGCTTGAGCCAGCATTAACCAGCAAATGGGATGAAAATGATGAAAACGATGAAAATGTCAATATGTTATAATCAAAATGACCCATTGGAGGTTTTTTTTTTACTATAAGTGGAACAAACCTAATGATAATTGGCTCGATTAATCCTATGAACAGTAAAATAATCATAATGATCATAATTAAAACCATATTTACATTTGAATGGACATTCAGTATTCAGACGTATTCAGTTTCTTCAGTTATGTTACAGTCTTTGTCAGAAGTCGTTTTAACAACGTTGATAAAATATCCCATTTGTAATTCCGTTAAAAAAAAAATCACCCACTTTGGGAACCACAGCTGAAGAGGCCCTGTGTAGAGATGAGAGACAACGGCGCATGGGCTCCATGTTACGTTATTTATCCACCAATTCTATGAAACGTTGAAATTGATTTTCGATTGTGAAAACTTTTCATTTTGATTTCCAGGCCCAGTATTTGCCTCAACTTACCAACAGCACCATCTCCCCAGCACCCGAGCTGAAGAACAAACACAAGCCCAAGTATGACCACCATCTTCCCAACATCTAACCCTGAAAGAGAAATAAAAATGAGGCACGGGGATGCTACAGGGATGTCATGGACTTGAATTTACAATACACCAACGAAATCTATATGACCCATATACAAATTGTAGTTATGAGGAACATTGTGAGAAGTGGCACTGCCATAAAGTTTGACGTGGATTTACTTTAAAATCATTTTAAACTCTTGATATACTGTTCGAACATTAAATGAATATGATTTAGTCAGTAAATACTCTCACCTCCAATAATACTGTACGTCAGCACCTTAGCAGATTGCCTTAGTTGAATTATTACTCCCCAACATGGATTGTAGCTCATCTAGGTGTCTTTACTAGTCCTAGCTTTTTCACCGTTGTGCCAAATTTATCAGGGAGTAGCGCATTTTGATCCAAAAGGTCATATTTATCCTTTCTAATGCTCGCATTGCTCTCAGATAGCAATAATTCAAAGCACTTAAATCCAGTTTAAGAATCCACAGCTTGAATTTGAAATGTTGCTCTTGTCTGGGGCTTCATAGCCTTTTTATACCTTTATGTGTAACTCTTTCTATAATTTCATTTATTTGTTTTTCAACATGTCATTTTGTCACTTGTGCATGCCATTCGCAGGGTTGTGTGTTGCCCTAATACAAACTGTTTATCATAAGTAGTGAGAAGTCTCTCTAAAACTCTTTTTTCCTTGCAGTTAATACAAATCAACAGAACCCCAATGTGATATGTAATGTGATCTACAGACTTGAGCTATTTAGCTCTTTATTAGTGGGAAGATCTCATTTATTAAATACTGACAGGCTGAATAAATTTCATTGTGTATATATACCTCTTGTTAGCAATGAAATACCAGTTGTTGTTATTCTTCTTTCGGCTGCTCCCTTTAGGGCTCGCCACAGCGGATCATCAGTCCTCATATTTGATTTAGCACAGTTTTTATGCTGGATGCCCTTCCTGACGCAACACTCCCAAATTTTATCAGGTCTTGGGACTGGCCCTGGGAGTGCGCTGTCTTGTGTAACCCCAGTGGCTGAGGTTGGTTCCCTGGCTGGGAATCGAACCCCGGGCATGGCGGTGAGAACGCCGAGGATTAACCACTAGTCCTCCAGGGACCCACTAGCAATGAAATACAATCAATCAATCAATCAGTACATAAATGAATAAATAAATAAATAAGATAATCTCAGGAATAATCACATAATTACTACATTTAAAACACTAGTCCCAAATAATCTGTGGTGTGATAACAGTGTATCGCAGTTATCAAAATGAACATATTCAATATTGTACTAGGAAAATTACTATGCGACTGTATGTATAAACAAATTGAAATGATTGCTGTCTATAAATGCTAATGAAAAAGTAACTCTAGTTAGTTTGAAAGTTACATACAGTATGCTGCTTTCAGGCTGCATTATGTTAGCTAAGCATATCGACTTTTAATAGTCTATGAATGCAAATATGGCTGTTAATAAAGAAAGTGTTAGCTGCAGAGTTGTTGGGTTGCCTTTGCGAAAAAGGATAAAGACAAAGTTAACTTCAAATTTCAGCCAAAAATAAAAGGTCTTTAGAAGACTGTGGTTGCTATACTACCTTTTAATTAGGACAATGACACATTTAGGATCTTTATGGGTCTCAGGGGTGGTGATAATATGTACAGCATTCCTAAAGCAGCTCATTTAAGCCTGCCCTTCATAACATGCGGAAGTATATCTGGTTTCAGATCTGGTTTTCATGTATTCAAGACATTGTCGTAGGTTTGTTCAGGCCCCCTAGTGGTGTAGACGCCGGCGTCTACAGTAGGACTATTGTGCAAAAATAGCTTTTGTATAAAGAAAATAGCGACGATGTCAACAAAAGCTGCATATCATCTTTCAAAGTAGTAAGTTTTCTATCCGTGTATGAAATTTGAGCTCTTTCTATCTTATAGTGGAGCAAGTAATAACTGAACAGACGTGTCACATCATGTGTGACTTCTTTACAGCTTGCAGGAACTACCAACGTAATGTGGCCAGATATTTGGGACATCACCAACCAAATTACCAGCAAAATATCATGTTACAACAAGGTAACAATAAAAAATAGCAGTTATATTATAGTTTATTTAGTTTGTTTATTCAAATTAAAGCATTTTTTTGGTACATTTTTGGTCATTTTTTTCATTTAAGTGAGTGGTCATTGGTGTGCAGTGCTTTCATTTTGGGACAGTAAGACTAAAACTGAATTAGTAAAAAACAAACCAACAAAAAAACAGAAAATTGCCCTATTTTCACCCTCTGAGCAAAGGGGTTGGGAGTGGTTGGGAGTGCCTCATTCACTTCTTCAGTTGTTATGGTTTGTAATTTGAAAAAGAAAAGAAAAATGAAGAGAAAGCAGATGTCACAAAGGAGACTCACAAGGATAATCAGGATCCATTTGAATGAGGTTTATTAGGGGAGAGAAGGCAATAATTGTGGTAAGAAACACAGTCCCGGTCATACACAATATCCTCACGTCCAGAAGAATCCAAATCACAATTTAAAAAAAAACAAAAAAAAAACAGATCCAATGGGTAATTTACATCTATAAGTAGCATCTAAAAATATGTGCTAAAACAAGCAATATGAATATGAACAATGAATATGACTATATAGGTAGAGGTGGTAAAAGTTCAGAAAAGTAAAGCTACCGGTGAAACAGAACGTTTCCAACAAAAGTCCTTCATCAGGTGTGTAAACAGAGGCTGTAGTGAAAACATTGGATACTGGATATTGGAAATTCTTGATCATGTAATAGCTTTAGTCAAAACCTAGCATTCATTCCTATATATATACACACACACACACACACACACATATATATATATATATATATATATATATATATATATATATATATATATATATATATATGTATATATGCCTGTATGGTATATAAACAAATATTATCTTGGGTTCTTCAAATCCATGAATATCCATGTGAGATGTGTTCAGGCTATAATCTTTGCACTAGTGGTTGCATGAAGAAAGCACCATCAGCCTGCTGTAATGTCCTAGTTCAGCAGGGGGTAGCGATGAGCTGGTTTTTGGGGGGCAAGTTGGCAAAGCCGCTGATTTCAGGAGTAGAGTCAATGCTCTCAGGTCCTCCAGGTGTGGTAAAGGTGAAATGTTGCAGCAGAGACACCAGGAAAATAAACAGCTCCATACGCGCCAGAGACTCGCCCATACAGGACCTCTTACCTGCAGGAAGGACAATTCACATCAGCGTTGCATAATAAGATTACATAGATTTAGATCATCCTAATGTGCAGTTTTTATGTTGTGCTGCACTCGTCATTCTGCTGAAACTGTACTTTTGTGCCCTTGTGTCACACTTGTAGTACTGAAATTTAGTGAGCTTGTGTGACTACAGAGACTATATATTGTATAACTTACTATATATATATGTGATTAATAATCAGAATGAAATTCAGTAAAATAGATTGCAAGGGAATATTGTGGAATGTGCAAGTGTGTGTGCGTATGAGTGCATGTGCACATGCTTCCTTTTTATAATGATTGTATTTTTAGATGCAAAGTACCTTGTAGATTGGTGCAATCAGAGACAGTGAGGAAAAAAACATGCAGTTATTGGGGACAAAATTAGACAAAATAAAACAAGTGTATCATAATTAAATACCTTGAGCCACTGTTCAAGTTAACGTTCATTCATTCATTCATTCATTCATTTATGTTCATGTCATGTGTGACAACATCTGTTCAACATCTTTGAAGCAAGTTAGTTATTGTTATCAATTACATTATATATGCATGCCTCTTAAAAGGGGGTCTTGGGAGGAGTGTACACATTTGCATACACATTTTTGGAGCAAAATAAGTCAGCCCTTTACCACAAAAAGAGCAAGGACAGCACAAACATAAAAGAATTGGCTTAAGACCAACCAAAATAGCAACAGGTCAGCATTAATCAGCAAGTTACACTTGTGTTAGTATGAAACTAGAGCCCCTTGTGTTGGGCAGTATTATTGTCAATATGACACTTTCAAGTTTTATTTATTTATTTATTTATTTATTTTTTACTAATAGCGGAACTAATCTAATCAAATAAAATTTTATTGGTCACACACACACAACCATACACAATACGATGTGCAGTGAAATGCTTTTTATGACTGTCCGGTGACACAAAACAGAATTTACATAAGAACAAAATTTACTTGCATAGAAATAGAAAAATAGAAAAATAGAAAAAAAAGATATAAAAGATAGATGGCAAGGAATGTACGAACAAACCCAAACATATTTTTCCATTAGGAAATGTGCCTCAATTTCTTTCATTAACACAAAAATATTAAAATTATATATATATATATATCTGTATAGTAGTATAGTATTCAGAAAGTCTTTTTCATTGTTATTTATTTACTCCTTATTTTAGATTATAATAGCAAAAAATTTAATTTTTTTAAAGGTTTTATTTTTATTTTATTAAAGAAAAACTGACACAACACAACTCTTTGCTTTTGTAAACTTTTGCAAAATTGAGCTCGGACCCCACTGCTGACAGTGCATGACAGAGCAAAAAAAGAAGCTATTAGGTCAAAGGAAGATGTTGTTCATAGTCCTCTGAGACACATTTGTGCCAACTGAAAAGCGTCCATCATTCCAAAGCAGAAGGTGTTTGGAACCATCGAGCTGCTTTGTAGAGCTGGCTGTCCAGCCAAACTAAAAAAAAGGGGAAAGGTCTTTAGTTGGTGAGGTGATCAAGAACCTGAAAGAACTTTAGAGCAGGGCTTCACAAACTTTTTGCAACCAGGGACCCCTTTATCTGTTAAAAAACAAAAAAACAAAAAAAAAAACCCTTCATTACAGAATTTTTTAACTATTCAAATATTAGGCAAATATTATTGGTGCCAGAGTTTTTATTTTTTATTCAGAGACAAGTTATGCAGCGGCGTCATTCATTCAGATTATGCAGGTTACCTGTCCGTAATTCATGGCTCCAGTGTTGCCAGATTTTTCTGGAGTAGAAACATCTGAGACAGTGGTTTTCAATATAGTCTAGACCACTGCCTTTAACTACAAACACTTTCCTTTAAGCCTGAAAAAATTCAGGGATAAATAAATGCAGATTGATTATTGGTGAATCCAAGAACAAGGGTTTCTCAATGTTAATTTAAAATTGTAATGTAAAATTAAAATCTTAGATCTAGATTTTTTAAAATATATATACAGTCCTGTGCAAAAGTCTTAGGCACCCTATTTTTTTAGTACAAACTTTGTTATAGATTTTTATTTTATGACTTCTACATTATTGATTCAGTACAAAAACATTTTAGAATTCCAAACATTAGTTTTCCAGCCCAAAATTAAATGTTACAGAAAAATGTTTGTATGTCAGTAAAGAAAGCAGCATATTACATAAGAGACACTTTTCAGACAAAAATACATAATGAAGGCTGCTGGGTTTTGCTGCAAAAATAAGAAGCAAGTGTGACAGTCAAAGTCTCCAGAAGAACTGTGGCTGCTTCTGCAAGATGCTCAGTAACACTTACAACTCATTTCCTTATAAAACTGCACAATTTTTTTTAAGCGAAGGATCGTCACACCAAATATTGACTTTGTTTCATTTATTACTGTTTACTGCTCTTTACAGTATTTTTTTAATGTAGAAACATTTAATTTCATTACTTTTGAAGGCATCTTTGCTCTATAGCATTCCTTTGCATGTGCCTAAGACTTTTGCACAGTACTGTAGGTCTCATATAATTTTGTTAAGTAGCTGTTTATTTATTTGATTTATTAATTTTTTTAGTATTGGAATTGTATCAACCTATTTTTGTACTTAAAGCACCACTAATATGATTTTAAAGGTTGTTTTAGGCACTGTTTTATGTTCCGTTTTTGAAGAAAATCAATTAATAATCCTCTAAAAATTTTCAATGGGATTGAAGTCAGGAGATTGGCTAGGCCATGCGAGGTCTTCCTGAGTTATTTTGGCTGTATGTTTGGGGATGTTGTCTTGTTCAAACATCCATCTTGTCCCCAGATTCAGTTTCTTAGCCAGTTTCAATTCATGTTTCTGTTTTTTTTATTTGCTCCCACCTCCATACTTCACTGTGGGTGTGGTGTTC